ATTGACGGGTTTCTTGGTGACGGCCTCAGTGGATCAAGGGGCCCTGAAAACCACTGGGTGCTAGATGGGATAATAGGTGGGCATAGTCTTATAATGTCTTATACATTCCGTGTTCAATCATGTTCATATGTTTTTAATGTGTTTCTATTTTTGCAATAAATATGTATATATATACTGTAATATGTCAGCCTGCAGGGGGGGTAGTGCTTAAAGGTTCGTGCTTTGTTTTGTCCTTTAAGTAGGCTTCGGCACCCCTAAGACCCATGGTTTGTTTGTCCCCTCTCGGCTCGGACGACGCCTTCATATCCTTCAGGAAGAGCTGCTTGAGCCCACATCTAACAACTCGTTACATGTTCAGGAGCTATTTCTCTATATTAGTCGGTTCTACCTGGAGCCTGCAACTCCACAGTCAACGTGAGCACCTTCTCTACAGGTACAGCAAATCCCTACTATGCCCCCCCTCAACCAACGAAACAAAGACCTCTAGCAACAAAATAACATCATGAATCAAGTATGTATTATTGTATGGTATATGTCTTCCAACCTGTATGCATTCTATGGGTTTTGGGGGCCAAGCTTGGCGCGCCAAGCTTCCTCCCCACCTCTGCCAGGGCGCCGGGCGCATGAGACACAGACGCCCAACACGGCGCCCAAGCGCCGAGCCCACGACCGGCCACGGTCTGAGCTTACGATCGGGACCGGGGGGCAGACTGGTCGGTTTTGGTATGCGTTCCCTTTTATGTCTGACTTCAGCGTGCACTGTGGTATGTCAAAATTTGGATAAGTAAGTGGGCATGCATGCCTACATAGATGATTCTCTATGATTCTTAGGCTACAACTATAACCCCAAAGTAGACCCTGTGCCAGGATGCCGGTGCTGGAAAGGCATGCAATCTAAAGAGGCCAGTGATTGGGGTGTCATCTCAAGATAAATCACATATATCTGAGGCCAATTTACCCAAGTGGTGCTTCAGTTTCACCTTAATGAAGAAAGCTGCTTGCTCAATGGGAACCGACCGGTCGATCAAGGTCCGAGACGGTATGACGAGCAGACCCTGCTGGCACCCACCCACCATCCCACCTTCGAAAGGAAGGCACTACGGTTTTGCCCAGGGGTTTTGCCATCACCACCTCGCAAGCCATGACTCCTGAATCCAAGAAGTATCCTGGCTTCAACTAGCGCCACTGCGAAACAAGGCCAAATGCTTGCGGCGGCACAGGCGGGAGCTGGTGCTGGGGAGTTTGAGAAAGATCTATGCACTTTGAAGTGAAAAAAAATTAAGGAAGAGAACCTCATCAGAAAGAGCTGGCCATGTATCACATGACATGCATTCTCGTGGTCCAAGCAACGTTGCCGTGCAATGCACTTTGATCTCAAAAGGCCCATCTTCCTATAGATGTACCTGGAGTATCCTGGAGTATCCTGGAGTCTCAAAGTACCTTGGAAGATCGGTACAAGTTACTTGTACCCATCTATAGCCTGGGTACGGCTGATGACTCCAGGTGCATCTATAGCCTTGGAAGATGGGTACAAAAGGTACAAGCACCTGTTTCTTTTTAAAGCAAAGGTACTTTGGAGGGTCCCGGAACTGAGAGAAACCCGCCTTGGTGTTGGGCGTTTCCCACGCGAGGCTCCACCGGACAGTCGGAGGAGGACTCTCAGTCAGCATCCGGCAGCGAGGTGCCTGGGGGGTTTTGCGTATGGTTGGTGATGAGAGGTCATGGGTCATCGGGTTTTGTGTAATGTTCTGCAAATCCTACTCTATGTTGATTAAGCTACCCTTTTGTCATGTCCTACAAGATCCTACAAATCCTACAAAGCATCCTAAGTAGCTAGCTTTTGCAGTAAGCTACCCTAAGGTGAGGTTGCAACATGTTTGGAGATGTACAGTTGATAGGAATTCAACCTCCATAGGAGTACAGCGGTTTTGAGAGGTGTGTGTTTCCCTTTCTTTACCACCCTCCCAAGTGCTGTTCCTTTCACATCCACAGGTGGCGGATGTGGGCTCCAGCCGTGACCGGCGTCAGGTGTCTTTCGCCGTCGTTCGTGCGCCGTGGGGAGGAGGGGCACATCACGAGGGTTCGGTGAAGAGCTTCACCAGGAGGGCGGAGGCCACATAGGAGGACCAGGCCACATTGAGTCATGGAGACGTTAAACGTGCGTTCCAAGATTAGCGTTTTCTTGGAAGACCTGTTGGACCTAAGGCCTTTGTTCATCAGATAGGAAGCTTATTATCCAAATACTTCCCACATCTTCCCATAATCTCCTTCAGTGTCTCCCTCATGAGATGTTGCAATCCTTTGGTATAGATTTGGTTGTGGGTCTTTGTTTTAGTTGGGCATCCCTTTATGGCCTTCGTCCGCCATGAAACCTCCCAACCTCGTCAGAGGTCTTCCAAAACATGCAGAGCTAAACTATGGGTATATCAGAATATCATGGTGTATCCTGTGCAAAAGCACACTTGTTCATGGCATCCCTGCAAACTCCACTTTGGCAGGTGCCCAACTATGGGGCTGCAGATGAAGGAGCCTGCGCAGGGCACGCTGGGCATGCAGGGAGGGGGGCTTTGATGTGGAGAGAGGACTAGGGTCTATGAACCGGCCTCGGAAAAACGAGGGATGATCGACCAATTCGCCCCATTCTGGTTGGGCTTTAAGGTTCAGGATTTAGGGTGTCTCTACTACGGGGTGGCCTTCTTGTAGAGCTGGCTTTCGGGGCTTTATTCTCGAGGCTATACCCTGGTCCAAATGAGAAAAGGGTGCCTAGAACATGTCCCAACTGGTTCGAAGAAGAGGAAGAGGTTTATTACTCTGCGTCCTTTGTCAAATTATGTCAAATCCACTCTAGATCTGCAGTGTTGTCTCTTCCTTTTCCCTTCCAACCGGAGCCGATCCCTTCCGTTCGTTCACGAACCACGCCGTTGCGTTTGCGACGCGCTCACAGGATCCCCACAGGTCTCAGCCAGCGAGAAGTGAGCGAGGGATCAGAGGATCTCGTGTACTAGTATACGGAAGACATCCCAAGACCTCGTAGTGTGAAGAACCTGTGAGATCTTATGTTGACATATTTGTTGTGGGTCGTGTTGAACTTGCCTTTGATATGGTATGTGAAAAAACAATGTTCAACATCTATGTGTGAGAAGCTTGAAGAAACCGTACTATATATAATATATAATATATAGTTGTCTCAATTCCACAGACATCGCAGAAGAACACACACACCAAAAAAACACATACACAAGACACAAGCATGAGGTGCCGCCAACACACGGCCATCGGACAGCTTGGAAGGATCCTGACAGATCCTCAATGAGCATCCAAAAACTTGGAGGCTTTTCCATAATCCACCTCAACGCCCCCGGAGGTGCCTCCCCCATCCGGGGACCTCAGCGGTGAAAAGCTTTGCATCCAGTGGTTGTGCCTCATGCGTGTTCCACGCCGTACGGGAGAACGCTGGTGTGTGTGTGTGTGGGTTTTGGGGGAAACGCGTGGAGAGCGACACAGAATCAACTGGTGAAGAGCGACACAGGATCACTATAGTTCATGTCCGTTCAATTGGAATTTGCAGTAACTATAGGGGTGAGGCCCACCACTAGCATGAGAGCATGAGCAAAACTTCCATTAGGTTCGGATTGTGGTGAAACTTCTTAGATCCACCGGTAAAGGGCAAAATGATTCTCACATATGGGTCCCTAGGCCTCCAGTCGCACCTTTTGAGAAGGTGGGACTGGGGTGGGTTTGGAGGGTCCAAATACCTTCTGAGGAGGTATTTGGAGGTATTGGGGTGTGACTGTGCAATATAGGGAGACCTCCCCCCCAAAGAAAATAATGGAAGAAGAGAAATAGACCGAAGCCCATTGGTTGGGTTGCATTGGTCGGATTGGGCTATCTCCCTACCAGGTCCCTCCGACAGGTCACCAATGGTTCGACCTGAGACAGGGTCCAACAACCCTCAACTAACAGCCTGCTGGAGGGTGCTGGCATAGGGATTTCATTCAACTTGTTTCCGTTCTTTTGGGATCGAAGGATTTCCACCAATGTCTAAGGAAGTAAAGCTGTACTTCCATGCGAACAGTACACCAGTACACCAGTACCTGTACTTCCAGGATTTCTATTTGACAGACCCTAGACATGGAGACGGTGGATGTGTTGGCATCCGTGGGAGTGGTGGATGGACAGGTTTCCTTGTGGCTGAAGGCTTCTCATACTTGCTAAGGGGGGTGGTGCTTCTCATGGCTTATCATGGGCTCACTTCATGCCCATCCTACCTGGTCAGTGGATAACCTTTAACCTCAACCTTTTTTTGGCAGGAACATGTGAACCAAGGTGAACAAGGTCAACCTGTTTTTTTTTCTGCAACGCTCGGGCGTCAGGTCATGTGTGACCTTTGCGGCTTGTTCTCTACACGATCGGGATCAAAGCAGCTAGGGCAGCTACTTGCCGCGGAATTCACATGACAACTACAGACCCCTGTGAATCCTTGGCTAACTCCATTCGGTCCTTCCCCCGCCAAAATGGTCGGAGAGTCGTCTTCGAAACAACTGTTGGTCTCCACCCTGCTCTTTTTGATTGCATGAACTTGTTGGTCAAGGAGGCTTTACCCCCATCCCCGGTGCTTTGTGCGGTACGCAGAGGTCAGATTTGGCTCGAGCATTGCTTCAAAGCAGAGCAGACTGTTTCGAGTGAGATGAGAAGTGGCTATCCCCACCATGGCTTGCAGAGCGACAAGCTTTGAAGAAAGGGATAGTAAAAATCAAACAACAAATCGAGCATATGTGTTTGAACAATGAAACGCCTCAGGAAGTTCTCATGCTGGCCACTTCCAGTAACACAAGTTTCTGAAGAAGCAGATATGTTCATCCGCTCAATGAGACATGGAAAGCAAAGACCACGTGTTTCTTTTTTGGTGCCTGAAAGGAAGAGAGTCAGGTCATGTTGTTTGTTTCCCTTTGCTTTTGGGTCATCAAGCCTCATGTATCCTCATGTCACTTCTTGTGAACACTTCTCACAGCTGTTCCAGCCCATCACCACGCGCCGATGTAGCGCTGGGCTCAGGCGCTCAGATTGGAGCCATGCGGGTGATTCCCGGCCGCCTCCTTCACATCTTGGAAGAGGCGCCCTCTGCGAGTCCCGCGGACCGCGGACCGCGGAACGTCCCAAGGAGACGCCCTGCTGGGAGACGCCATCGAGCTGACGCCTCGCGGAACGTCCAAGCCCAGTTGTCCACCTCGTTGTCAAGCGTTTAGGCGTTTTAAGTGGCGGAGAATGCACCCTGTTCCCGTGTGGGAGACCTGTTGATGTTTGGAGACCAGATTTCGTTGATGTTGCTTTGGATGTGTTGGGGGTGTTGTGGGTACGCTATTGGCGCGTTTGCTGTGAATGCCTTGTTTTGTTGTTGTTGTTTTGTTCAACGGTTTGGACAGTTCACGTTCAAATTACATGTGATTCGGTGGTTTCTTTTGCATTAGTCATAGGGTAGATTAACCAAACATGTATAGATGAAAAACATGATGATTTTGAGCGCGAATGCTGCAAACTTCTGCTGTGCTTGTCAATGCCAGCGGTGCTGCGCCACTGCGCCACTTGTGGACAGAGAACATGGATGACATGATGGAAGTGGAAACTAAGCTTCTCCTGGGATTGAGAATCAGACAGCAGGATTTACTTATTGTTTTTCGGGGCCATCCATTCTCCCAAAGGTGCAAACCTTAAAGGACAATACAATACTTGTTCAGTTGATCAGGGGTGTCTTGTGGCTGTTTTGTTCTGGATGCCTTTCTATGATGGCAACTGGAGGAGGCCTTTAAGCTGATACTAGAAAAGCTAGATGATTAGAGTCTGCCCAGAGGCTAGCTATAAAAATTTCTGGATTAAACCACACCACCTCATTTGAATGACAAGTATTTCTTGGTGAATGGCGGTGATGGAACTAATTATTGGACTCCCAAAGAAGGTGCTTTTCCACAAAACACTCAAATGGTGCTCCGAAGGGTCGCTTTCTGTGGAGGACAGTCCATTGCTACCATCCCAGCCTCTTCAATTCGAATAGTCTTGAGATGCTTTGATGATCTTTGATGTGATGATGATGATGATGATGATGATGATTTTGTTGTTTTTGCCAGGAAGTCGATCCTCTGGTTTCCGTGGTTTCCGCTGTTCCCACGCCAGGGCACCAAGAGCCGTCGCTTTGGTGGGCCAGGTGCCGATGTACGTGAGCGACGCGTGGTCTCAGATCAAAGAACACACACTTTGCAATGATGCTAGTGATGCTTCTTTAGCCCTGTGCATTTTCTTGCATTTTCTGTATGCCAACGGCTGGTTCATTTTTGTTTAAGTTTCTTCATCCAGATGCTAATGAGCTAGTGATGCACTGCTTGAGCCCTTCGCATATGCATGTCTAACATTTTCTTGGCTATGGTGAGTGTATTAGAAAGCACGACCCATTCCAATGGCAAGCGGCTTTTTGGGGGTGGCATGAGTGCATAAGTAGTCAGAAATCTTGACACATCCCCACCACGAAACCCATCAGCAGATTCTGCTGAGATTTCCACCCTGAATCTCCCCCCCAATTTGTTTTTTCACGGGAGCACTTTGGCTGATCAGTCGTTGTGATCAACTACATATATCACATTTATAGATACAGCAAAAGATGTTGGCAGAACATGTGGTTTCAACCGACTTAGATGGTTTCAACATGCAAAAGAAAACGGAAAACAACAACAGACTTGATGGATCTTGCTGGTTTTTACTTGCTTTAGTTAAACAAAAACATCCAGCCATCTCCAACCCGTCCTTCTTTCTTGGTGTCCGACCGGAGCGGCGAACGTTCCACCAGGTTCCTCGCGGTGGGGTTTCCCGAGATGTTGGATGGGCAGAGGTTGAGAGGTTTCGCGGTGGGGACGGTGTTTGCTCGGTCCGCGTCTGCTGAAGACCAAACCTTCTGTGGCCACTGTGCAATGAATGGAATCAATGAGGTGCAAAGACTCTGACCCCCAAAAAAATGAATCCTAGGGCTCCAACATGCTCCAACCATATAAAATATGGCAGGCCAGAGTTGAAAGGAAAGGACACGACTGACCCCTCGCAATCAATCGAATCACATATAGTATCTCCTCTCCAAAGATGTGCTGCAAGGTGGAGTCAGTATACCTCCAAAATTGGTACAACATGTAAGGTGAACTGTCGGGTTCAAATGTTCATTTTGACACACCCATTTGATATCATTTGATGAATGACAACCTGGAAGTCAAGTGTAGAGACATTTGCTATGTCTATCGCTGGCGATGATAGCGGGTGTGTTTGGGATGGTGCACAAAAAAGACCAACTCCCAAATTGACAAGCAGATTCCTTCTAGAGCTCAGAAACAGACAGGACGGAATCCACCAGCCCAGCCAAAATCTCAGATCATATTCAGATCATCGTTCGTCTTGTCCCAGACACCTAACTACTAGACTAGACGTCTACTCACCTACTCACCTACTCACCTACTCACCTTACGTTTGCCATCTCCGGATCCGTCAGCCCTGATCTGTCGATGTCCTCCCCAGGTCCACCGACTCCCGAGGTGCTAGCAGGGTCCGGTCGACGGGGTAAGACCTCCCGTGTTTGGTGAGTCTGGAGGCATGAGTCATGAGAGTAGTCAGGAGAGTAGTCATGAGAGTATTGAAGTAAGCATGTTCAAGCTCGGCCAGGCCCGGGTCAGTGGAAAATAGATGATATTCAGTTGGGTCGTTCCACTTGGGTCCACCTTCCTCACACATGATGTTTGTGGTATTTTTCTGTGTGGTTCAATGAATTGGTTTAAGGATGTTTAAGGGAAAATCTGCAGGACACCCATTGTTTTGGGGGTGAAAAGCATGGTTTCCTGTAGATGTTCATTTCATTGAATGGTGGTTCATTGAAAGGGTCGACCCGATGCCAATAGATGATGAATTCATATGGGAGTTGATCGAAAACCCCGTGTAAGGAGTTTTATATAAAACAGCCTTTCAGATGTTGTTAGAACCATCCGCGAAAGATTCGCGATGAGGTTCGCGAAAGTATCTTTTTTTTCCGCGAAAGATTTATCGAAGGTCATCGCTTTCATTGTTTTCCTTTCTACCGGACTGACAAAGAATAGAAACGCAAGGCAATCCTCCGGCAGAGCCAGTGGGCGGAAGTGTCCCCATATGTCACAGACTAACGAACTGAAGCCTCAACATTTCCGTGCCGAGCCCTGGCAGTGCGTAAAGGATTCTCCGATTCCTGTCCCCACTGTCACAGGCTAGCAATCTGGGTAGGCACAGCCCTGACAGTGAGGCAACGACCTGCAGCTGCTCTGACGGGCTGCGCAGATGTTTGCAAATGTTACGGCTTCCCGGGGAAAGCACCAGTGAAATTTCGCGAAAGATCCGCGAAAGTTTCGCGAATGTGCCGCTAAAGTCTAGGTTCCCAGCTTGAGGCCCCCCAACATTCCCCAAGCTGTATCACCCTGTGTTGGTAGCTGGCACGAGGATTGGGTTGAGTTGTGCCTGACTCTATTTGGCACAATTGTCGAACAGATGCTGCAAGTGACCCTGAGTAGCTGTGGAAACGTTCAACCATCTACTGGGGTCATGCTGCAAGATGTCTCTCCCTATTTTGTGATACTATGACATGTTCCGGCTCCTGTTGGCTAGACATGGTTGTAGGACCATGCTTCGCGATGAGGCCGCGAAAGATATCTTTTTTTCCGCGATGAATGGCCATTCCAGGATGAAAGAATATTGATCAACCACCATATATATTATATATCCAGAGAAACCAGGGACCATGCCATGAATATGTGTGTTTTTATAATATAATCATTTAAACACAAAGTTGCCCTACCAACTCTCCATGAGTTCATATCTTAGAGGTTCCCCAAAAAGGAAATCAACTTGTCCACCAACTACCCTGAGGGCATTCGTGTTTGTGCACTTTTTGAGTGTTGTTTTTCTTGTTTCGATGGTATTAGATGGTCTACTCCTACGCGTCCTCGGCCACTGGCCAGGTGCTGCTTCGTCCCATCAAGCAGAGGCAGCTGGCCGTTTTGCAGTGGTGGCAAACCTCCACGTGGGAAACCTCCGGTTTCGCTTCAAGAATCACTCACGATTCGCAAGAAGTTTCAGCTACGGCTTCGCATCGCATCCTGGTTTTTCGTCTCACGATGAGTGGGAGTGGGGCTAGTTTCAACTGGGGAGCGCCAGAGTGGAGCCATGGCTCTTTGGTCCAAGGTGAGAGACAAATCCTAATGTGCCCGGGGACGAGAATAAGCTGGACTGGCTCAAATGGTGAAGAGGGACGACCCGACCCTGTAAGGGGACAAGGAGATTTGCTTCTGATTTTCTACCCTCCCTGGTACCTACCAGGGCCTTCAAGGGGTGGTAGACATGGACACCCCGAATCACAGCTAAGGCAGCTAAGGGGCTATGACACCCCGAACGAGTCGGGTCCTGGTAGGTTTTTTGGGACATGATGTACTTTGCAGGTTGGTCTTTCGTTTCGGAGGGTTTCGGTCTTTCGTCCTCTCTCATCACCGGGACCCTGGCTTGGCCAGTTCCGCGGGGTGCGGAGGGCGGTGTTTTCAGAACTTGTGGACATTTGCGAAGGCAGCATAGGAATGAAGATATAGTTGGAGTCTTTTTTTGCAGGGAAGGGTTTGTGTTAACGGAACCTGCTGCTGGCATTAGACTTTTGACCCCTAACGAGTTGCTGTAGAGGATGTGTACTATGACAATGACTTCCATTGAAAGCAGTTTGCATTGGGGCTGTATGGACTCCACGCTGGACTAGTTTTCATTGCAGCATTCTGGTGATCCATATTACCTGCATCCACGTGGTAGGTAGGAAACTGTTCCCACGCCTTATGAGAGAGTTGGGAGCATGTGCTGAGTGCACATTATGTTGAAGTACACACCCCAAATGAACAAACACAAAGGGTAGTATGCCAACATGCATTTTGTCATTGGAACTTGTGCATACTCCTGGAACAGGACATGGCTGGTAATTATACAATGATCCTTACATCATGTGGATGATGAGCTAGATAGGTGGGGTATAGCCCATTAGCAGTAACAGTCGGTAGAAAAGTAATTATCACAATTCTTGAGAAACTCCTGCAATCTAACCATCATCATCCACTGGGCCCTGGTAATGGAATAATATACCCAATAGATCGGTACCATCTTCACTCCTTCACCCTCCTCACCACGTGCAGCCTTAGCCCAGCCTTGGCCCCGCTTCAGCCTCTCAGCCGCAGCCGCCTTAGCCCCGCATGGGACCGATGTGTTCCTCAACCACAGGAGGTGGTCGCCTACGATCTCCTACACAAAGAGCAGGGTTTTTTTGGCCTTTAGGCCGGGTGGGTGAGGGTGGCTTCGTCGCTTGGATGCGGGTAGCGGGCAGGGGGGTGCAGGTGATCTCTCCTCCATGGTCTCATCTTGAGGTTGATAATTCAACTGAGAACTCTTTACATTTGTTCTCACCATGCCTGTCCTAGATGCGATGTACACAAGAGTTGAACCAGAACTTGATCTCAATGTCTCCCTTCTTTGTATTTCTTTCAGCTTCAGATCCACCTACTGCCTGCTGTTCCCCTCCCTCACCCAACCTCACCTGGATCCGAAAATCCTTCACCACCCGACATCGGACCCGCAGCCAGGAGCTGGTACTTCTCGCAGGTGATGAACCCATGTGACACCCCGCGAGAGCAGCTCAGTGCCCAGGAGCTGGGGCTCTTCTTCCCCCAGGCGCGTGTGTCTACGCGTGGGCAAGCACATGGGCTGGCGTCAGGGAGCTGATGGTGCGCGGAGCGGGCATGGTTCTGCTCAGACAGTGGTCGAGGCAGGTTCCATGTAAGTCTGTAAGTCCAAGTCTGGACGTTACCCCTGGCACCCCTGGTCCTAGTTGCATCATACTTGTATTATGATGATCCTCCTTTATCATTCTTCCCTGCAGTGGTGAATCAATCTCCATCTGGAATAGATTGCTCGTGACCTGTGAATCAAGCGCGCGAGGCCGTCCCCATTCCTGGCACACTCGATGAGTATGCCATTCGGCTGAGGGCTGGCGGAGTCGACATGCTTTGAACTTCTATCGAGTGCAAAGAATGCCCCCAAACACCCAGTGCTTTGAGTGCTTTCTATAATACATCTATATACCTGGAGTCTCAAAGTACCTCGGAAAATGGGTACAAGTACCTGATTCTTTACGGGCACATTTTCCAAGGTACTTTGGAGGATCCATGTGCCTTGGATCACTCAGCTTAGAAGCAAGGGCTTGATATATAAGAAAACATAAGGAACCCCCACATCCGATTGACAAATGTGTCCAAAGGGCAAAAGTTCAAAATACAACAATTTCCTGCATTAAAGAGCCAGTGCACTCGTGCCCTTCTTTTCGGAAGTGAACCCCGCCCCACCTGGACAGCTCGGTCCAGGGCCCTCAGCTGGAGAAAGAAGTATCTCTCGTGTCGTGAGCTGACCGAGAGATACGAAGACGACATGTTGACATAAGCTGGGAAGCCGTGTTATTGCAGTTCATTAGGGGCCGATGGACCTGTAAACTTGGCTCGATTTGAATATCTACATCTCAATACCTTGACCTCAACGTGGGACAAGATTGGACATGTTAAAGCTCCGATCCAAGCACGTGTTTTGGAATGCCAGACTCAAGCAATCCTAACCATGATGCCAAAGGAATCTGGCATAAATTTCCATGCTCAGGCCCAGGCCCCTCATATTTACAAAGAATATCACAAGCGGCAGCGATCACTCAACGCCACCATGCGCCATTTGCACACATTTACCACAAGTTCCTTCACTTGCCTCTCTGTCCTTTGTGAATCGCAGATCACCCCGTTCTAGATCAAGTAGCCTTTAACAGCTTGCTTATGGGGCCTCAGGATTTCCACGATGGTTTGGCCGTACTCAACTCCAGTGACCAGCAGTTTCAGAAGAGAAGTCCTATTACAAGTGATGTGGGTATCACATGGTACGAACTTACCATAAGCTTCATCCTATAGCAACTAGCACATTCCTGCCGGTCATTCCATACCACCAATCATGAGTTGGAGCCCGTACTTCCTGTAAAACGATTTTTCATATTTACAGGAACATGCCTTTCATTCCATTGCACACTGCTTCGATCGCTTCATGACACATCAACTGTTCCACGAGTATTGATTGCAGGGAGCAACGAGCAAACAGCATCCATTGGAGGTTTCCTAGTCGACCTCGGTGGATCAGTCTGGAAGACTACCAGTCTGTGCAAAGTTTTTGACTCGACTCCATGCCCCACCCAGAGTCCTTTCGAATGGCAACTTGGGGTCTTCCACCAGCGCCACTTCATCCATAGTCAGCAACAGGAGAGTTGTTTCACCTACGCAGCTCCATCGAGCTTGTAGATCTTGGAGAACCGCAGAGAGAAGAAATTCGAAACGCAGCAACCTGCCAATGCATCATCCGAGGATGAACAATCCTACAAAGATCTCCCAATGATTCTTTCTTTTGGTCATTTGATGTTTTTTGACATGTATCGAATCTGAAACAAAGTTCATCTCCTTCCGATTCCGAGGCCTTTATGGATTTCCTCCATCTCTTCCTGGAGTGTTCTGAGGCTGAGGTGCAGGGCCGTCGGGCCGGGGCCGTTTGGTGTCAGGGGATGCGCGGCCTGGCGCGGCGCATCGCGCCTGTCACACCGTTCGGAGAGAGTCTTTGGCGCCTGTCCATCGACCCGTGCGGCGCGAACCTGTCACACGAATCGCACGACGAATCGCTCCAGGTCGGTCCAGCCCCAAAAAATAACAAGCGGTTCTTTGAGATCGAAGATCTCGTCGAAATCGAAGTCCAAAGTTTTTTTGCTTTTGCGTCGAACAACATCTCCGGGGGGGCATCCGATGACGGCGCGAACAGCTCACAGCAAAACAGCTCATAGCTCACAGCTCAGCAAAAGCGCGTGCCAGCCTTTGGTTTAACCTCTGGTATACGGGCCTTAAGCGCGCCTAGGGCCTATATATAGCTGGTCTTGATCTTATAGCCATTGATCACCTCAAGCTTGCGCGCCAGGCCTTCAGCTTCTTCAAGTTGCTGGACCCCTCGATGCTGGGCGCCCTGAAGTTTCAACAGGCCGAAGAAAACCCCCCCCAAACCCGAGCCGCGCTCCGTCCGCGGGGGCAGCGGGACGGTGGAGGAAGTGGGCGTTGCAGCGGGGGTCAGCCGGTGGAAGGGGTGGATGTTGTGGAAGACGAAAGGAGCAAAGATTGTGTAGATCCTTAGAGATTGTGTATAGCATGGCTACAGCATCATTGAAACACGACTTGCTTAATAAGTAATTATATACCATTAACGCTGCGGTGTACCTCAGTTTTGCATGTCGAGGTGTTTGTTTATTATAGACTTAGATAATTATGCATTCGTGATATATTTTGGGGGTTGTTTCACTATCCGTATGGATCCACACCTTCTCAGAAGGTATGTGGGCTGTCCAAGCTTACATAAATAGTCTCCAATCACCTTCTCAGAAGGTATGTGGATCCATAGATTAATTATGTTATGTCATTTGGGTGTTCAGTTACGCAGCACGTGTTGGAACCAGTTTGAGTGTCCAGGGCAGGTTTTACCTCGATTCCGCTAGGGATCCAGATTCACCTCAGAATTATATGTCTTCAGTGAACGTCATGGTACAACATTGTACAAGAAACCATGGTCCCTCTAGCTCTTGGCTTCATTGGTTTCATTCGTGTTTGAAACGACTGATGATCTACTATAAATATGACCTGTGGTAGCCTTATGTCATTATTCTAGATATGGGTGGATGATGGATGCCTGAAAGAAGTGTTTCTACCAGAGCACCATCCTACTTAGACCCACTGCATTTCCTTACATCTTTCGGTGCCAGGAGAGTATCCGCCTTCTCCCCATCTCAAAACGACACGCCTGGTTCACTGCTACCAGGTACCATAGATAGTACCATTGGTACCATTCCGTGCATCTATCGATTGGACCATTTAAGGTTCAACTGCCAAGCGCGCCAAGTGGATGGATCCTGTTGAAAAGTCTCTCGGCAGATCTACCTCGCCACGGTGCTGCTGTCGGCGATGAGCTCCAAGCAACTCACGAAGTGCCTCGCCTTGGCGTATAGACGATGGGAAAGACGAGGCGGAAAGCGCTGGGCCTATTTGTTTACTCAACATGGCAGTGGGTCAACACCCAAAGCCCTAAACACTGGTAGGTTAACCTCCCTTGTAGTTCATTATCTTTTCGGTGGTCAACCCAGCTCTCCCGGTTTTGACCCACTCACTTTTCCTGGGTAGGTGGACAATACACTTCAGGTAAAAAACAGTCTCAGTGAGTTCATTCTCACCTGCAAACGGGACTCAAACTATGCATGACATTGATGTTTGCTTGGAAAGTGGAGCACACCATAGACACACCATACATTGCCATGAATCCGCATCCTTCTCGTCCTTCGGGCGTTTGACTCCACATAGATCCAAATAGGGAGGCACCCCCCAAAAGTCTGATTCACTGATTCATCCGATTAGTTCACAGTGTCATCCATACTGTTCAGTGTTTTGGGGTCTTTCCAATTCTGCTTAGAGCAGCAGGCACTCTTGAATTAATTGTCATTATTGTCCAGCTATGTCGAGCTGGTAAAACCCACGGGTCATTCCATCTTGGTGCAAGTCGGGGATCGTAGGTTCTTTTTCCTCTACATCGGGTTCTGACCTGCATAGCAATCCTGCGGTGTAGGAGGAAACAAAGAACAACATGCAACACCCTAAATCTTTATTGTTCGCTTGTGTGGTGTTCCCATTCTTGCCACTGTGTAATGAGCAACTCAGTCACAGCTCAGGTGCCTCTACTTGCACTCGCGCTGGTTGTCCTCTACTCAGGTCATTTTGCCTTTAGTTGAAGTGGCCCAGTGGCCCTGGCTGTAGTTTTTTCTCCATGCTGTTACTTTGCGGATTAGACATAATACATGAAACCCAGATCTGTGTGCCTATCATGCGCATACGATTCAAGAATGTTTCTTGGACATCCTATAGAATGTAGCCATTCCGAAAGGAGCGACATTGGGTTCATATTCATGTGTGTCTCGGGCATTGTTTGTCAGGAACTCTACATCTCTACATCCTGATCATGTTTAGTGACACCTTCCAACAACAATTGAATGGCTGCACTGGCAAGGGGATTCGGATTCGGCGTTCTTTCTTCAAACCACTCTGAAAGAACCACCCACCCAAAGATTCTAAACCAAACCATGCTGCCACAGCACCACTCACTGGGTATCAACACCGGAAGGCACCCAGGGATTTTACACCAAACCATCCAGTTACAGCAGCACGCATCAACACCCCAAACCGCCCCAAATGTGTGCACCAAACGACGTGGGTATGATCAGCCCTTGCTCACCACACCTGGTTGACTAGTCCTGGGACGAGCCGGCTGGTCCCGCTGGAACGCCCAGGTTCAATACCATCACTGTGGAGCCCTCATCAGGCCGGTCCGGTGGCAACGACACTTGTCGCACGAGCAAACTCACCATGGAATCTGAGAATGGACTGGTGGTAAAAGAGCATGTTCTGAATACCAACCCAGGGGATTTGGGGGGGTCCAAGTTAATCTGCAGGGGAGTAATATATGTGTGTTGAAAGCTGCAAAAGACTAATGATGGGTGGTTCTATGTCCTTGAAAGTTTCACTTGGTTGAATACACCATGTGCAGGACCCTCCAAAGTGAAAGAAACAGATGCTTTCAGTTTGTTTGACCTCGACGATTGCTTGCAGTAGTAAGTTGAAGCTTTATATACCAGCATCCTCCAACAGGTCTCCTCCTTCGAGGGTTGTTGGGCCCTAACTAACAGGTCTGAATTGGTGCTTTATAGCAATATTGAGCCCTACAGGTATATAGGATAATACATGGTAAAATATCGCAATCATGTACCTATATAGAGCCTACATCAACTTACAAATTTCCAAGTACTAAGAAATTTCCAGGCACTTTTCTTTGTTACTGGCTTTGAATATACATCTAATATACATAATGATATAATATACATATTGAATAGATATATTGCGTTCAGTTATTTTTTTGATGCTGCCACGACTCGCCGACCCTCCACCTGCCGCGGCCTGCCAGGTCGACCTCGCCGGGTCGCTTGGCCACGGCTACAGGCGCGACGCCGCAACGGCGCGGTTTCGGTGGTTTCGGTGGTTTTTTTTTGGATGGCAGTTGACAAGGTTTATAAAGGAGGATCATGGAGGATCTATATAGATCTGTTTTTTCTTGTGCAACGTTCACAAGTACCTTCGTTCGTTGCATGTTTTCTTTTTTAAATGTTATCTATTTATTTTCCGGTGACAGTGTTTCTCTGTAATTTATTGATTGCAGTTCCAGGTTCTACGCTTGCAGCAAGTTGCGCAGCCTTTTGTGTTGTTCTTCTACAATGTTTCCACTCAGTATCAATGAAGCCATCCAATCCATGGTACTACTGTACCTGGCTATACCCATGTTTTCTTGCTTGAACCCCGGCAATGCAAGCCTGGGCCGACAAAAGCCGCCAACAGGTCAAAAGGTGGCCCGTCGTTTCGTTGAAGGTTGAAGCAAGGAGGGGGGGCCCGAAATCGGGGAGTCCCTCAACCAAAATACCACAAGCAAGCAACCCAACCCAGCAGCAGCCAACAAAACGAGCAAAGCCAAGAAATTCGAACATTCCTCCCTGACGCCAAAGAGGCGGTACGGACCTGAAAAAGACACCATGGCACCATGGCTTCAGTTGGTGTAGTTCTTGATGAAGTGTGCCCTCTGATTCCAAGAACAAGGAATTCACACTGACTCTCAGACCAGAAGTATATTATCAACCTCATGTGTCACTCATCTTCAGCTCCACCTCCTGCCCAAAACGCAGCTTCACCGCAGTATCTCCACCGCCCGGAACGGCACCTCCCCTCCGCTCCGTTCGTCCTCACCGCCCCGCCACCAGTCACTGTTCCGGCTCCTGGGGGCCAACTGGATCTTCATCTCACGCACATGCCGGGAGAGCCCGAGCTGAACGGTGGAGCCGCCACGGATCCGGGCCCGGCGACCGCACCACGAACACCTTCGGGTCCGTTTTGCGGCATGTACAAAGTGTATGTATGAAGTTCATATATATGTGTTATGGACTTGGAATGGTGTCTTGAGATGGATTTTGGAAGCTTCGTTTTGTTGTAATAAGACGTTGCGGTGAGTTGCTGATGCTGACTGATGCTGACTGCGCTTAGACCAGTTCGAGTCTCCTTATTTGGGAAGAGCACTGAGCATCTCCCTGGGAAGACTGCATTTTCGCACAGGCTGCTCCGTGTTGAGGACATTTGTACAGCCACACCCATTTTTAGGTATTGGAACGTATCTAGTTGCACAAGTGAGCCTTCTAATGTGGAGAGCTTGGCCTTGTGGATTTTGAGTGCGCCATCCTCCGTCGGAAGTCCACATCAGTTCACTGTAGTGCAGCTTGAGAGCAACCGAACAATCGCATAGAATCGCCAACATCCTGCTTGGCACGACCTTTATCTTTGTAATGCCCAGCATATATCCACTCGCAATATCTTTGAATGGAATACCTTTATCTTTGTAATACCCAGTATATATATATATATATGTATCCACCTGACCCAAAATAAATCCCATTCAGAAATCGCATGAAATCACTCGCTGAGATCCAATGGCCAGCAGCTTCACCCCGCAGACACGGCTGACGCACGAGGAGTTCGTCGAGGCAGTTTGAAGAAACGCACCGGAGGGTGTGTCGATTGCATTGGGGTGACAGTACGTGGTAAATGCCTTTTGTGATATCATGTGATATCAATGTGTGTTTGTATCAAATATGTTTTGGGAGGTGAGTTGAGTTGGCCATTTGCTTTGTTAGACTAGGGAGTTCGTGCTGAATTAGTCGCCATTGCCCATTTAACTGCCCATGTGGATGAGCATTTTGGACATTGCCTTTGGTTGGAGCTTGAAACAACCATCCAAGTTTTCACTTGTTGTATAAAGTGGATATGTTTGCAACCACACGGTGACTCTTAATCAATCTTCACTCCACAGTCTTGTCAGCAAAATATCATTGTTTTGTGTCATGAACGCCTGCTGTCGCTGTTCTTTTTCGGATGGTAGTAAACAGATGATTGATTCCCACCTCCTGCGAACCACTCAGCATCACGAACTCTTGTCATTTTTTTAGTTCATTCCTTTTCAGCCGTGATGGATTGGGCATGATCCGAATCCGGACGCCTTCAGGTCCCACAGCGCACCTGTCTCGCCGAGACGTCGCGGGACCGGTCGGAGAGGCGCTCTTTGCGGTGCTTTCCTCGCTGGACAAGGACGGTGCCGATGCACAGGCGCCACCGGTCGACCGGAGGTTCCAATCAGGTCGACCGGTGTGAGACTGAAGTCTTGGACAGATTGGGGGTCCACTACTCAAGCATCCTGTTTTGGGGATTCCAGGTCCGTGCCCATCTACTCTGAAACCGCTGTAAATATCTTGATTGAGTGAAGTTCGCAACAGAATTGGCTGCAGAGTGATCATCTAGGATCATATCATGTTCATAATTCTACAGGACAACATAGGGAAAACCAACAATAATGTTTCAGCATGCTGCTTTGTTCCGGCTTTTTTTTCGCGGGTGGTGTGGTAAATCCACACGGTCGCCCTCCAGACTCCAAGCAACAGAGGTTGAAGAGCCCTATGACATGACTTTTTTGGATCTTTTTGGGAGTATATCTCTTTCCACCGCACCCCAGTTTGGTCCCCTTGAACAGGGTCACTTAGACCTCTTAGAAAAGACTGTGTCAAAATCCACTTCTATTAGCCAGCAGACATTCACCTCTTTATTTTGGAAAAAAACAAACATCTATAGACCTGTTACTTTCTTTCCACCCCTCCGATGCAAACCGCGAGTTCCGCCCCCAAACGCACGCACGCAGACGCACGCAGACGCACGCAGACGCACGCAGACGCACG